AATTAAAAAAACTAAACTTCAAGTGGATGAAAATGGTTATAAAATGGTTGTTAATGTTCAGATAAACATAAAATACTGGAAATGAGTTAATCCTCGCAAACCATTTGTCATGACTTATGACTTCTGAAAAGTGAAAAGAAAAGAAAAGAAAGAAATTCTACAGCTCAATTTGTCAATCAAATCATTATTGATTCACTTCCAGTAATTGTTTCTAAGTAGTAAAACAATTTGAAGGCTGTGCAGCATGAAAGCATACGTAAATCAGATAAGTTACAACAAGATCAATCAACTAACTCTGTTAATCACAAGCTTTCTCTGAAAAAAATGCAGTTGAACATAACTAAAAAACAGACTGAACTTAAAGGCTACCACAACAATGAAGTTGCCATAACTGCAAAAGACTTGTATCACAAAAAACTTACCTTTGTCTTTTTGAAAATAAATTTAATATTCTGAAAGCAGACATTAAAGATTTTAGGACACATTACAAGCATAGCAAGGTTCGATCACAATCGTGAACTAAAGTTTTTCGATGAACTCATTCATTTAATACAGTATGTATAATTTAATAATGTATTACAGCATTTCTCGATAACTTTAGACAAGTTCCCATAATGTTTATAGTCTGCTTCTCAAAATGTTTAGACAAAATCTTAAGTCGGTCGTAAAACCAGTTACTCTTCTCAAAATGTTTCGACAGTTCGCATATTGTTTAGTCAAGTTCTCAGAGCATTTAGACAAACGGGTTTCTCAAACCGAATTGAAAAGGCAGAAGCAATCAGAGTTGGATTTGGAATATAAGTTTTGCGTTTAGTGACTAAACCTTTACTGTATTAGCTAAAGCAGGGTGGGATAAGGGCTTGTGGTCGGACAAAGTGAAGCTCCATAGTAAATAAATATCAAAACGAACCTTAATTAAAAAAATATGTAACAATTATAAAATTATTATTTTGAAACGATTAATCAATTATATCAAATATGTAATTAAAACGTAAATTGTTTTTCGACGAACCTAAAAATTTCATTGTTCTGTTGAATTCGAAGATGATGAGCATGTTAATGATGATATTGACAGTTGCACGGTGAATTTATTCATCTAAATTTGATGTGTTACATTTCTTTTGATAGCATTTGATTAATCCGAGAAACTTCCAATACGAAAAAGCTTTTGAATTTGTAATGAAATGTACATCATGGAATACAGGGATTCCCTTACATTGTTTTTTGCATAGCGTACACATGGACATCTAACTGAGAATCATGTTTCCGATTGATTTTAGTATAAAAGAATCAACTACTATCGAATCTTAATCATTCTAGCAAAAGCTAAAGTATCGTCAACAGTTTAATTCCAAGTATCAATAAAAATCCTAATAACTCAACTGTTACAATGAGTTTAACTTTGTTTGCTTCCATCTTCGTCCTTTTGATCAATCAGTCCTTCGCATGTGGTAAGTCAGTGAAACAATAAAGCAACTGATAACATTGAAAATTATGATAAAATAACTCATGATTTTGTTTAGACTGTGGTCAGGCTACTGGTTACACAGCTCCTGAAGGCAAGTTGTCTCGATTCCCTTGGTATGTAGCTATTGAGTAAGTATCACAATTTATATCTTACTCATTCTATTTTGTTACCTTAATATCGTGATTCTTTTCTTTCAACTAAAAAGGGATGCATGGTAGGTGATACGAAGATTTTGAACTTTTTTTGGGCTTAAAATATTGTAATGGGTCAGATATGATCCTTTGTCAAGCCTTTCGTTTCGGAAATTCTCCTTTTCAAAGTTACAGGGTGTCAAAGTTTCAACTTTTGCATAGAT